CACTAGTCTTAAAGCGTTGACCATGAGGGATCGTGTGTTGTCTATTGTTGTCCGGCTTACTCCACCTTGTGTTTTTGTAACAAACAACTGCCCAATCTCGAACAGAACTCGTAAATATGTGATAGTATTATGTGCACTGATGTTCTATCTTTATTTTGACTAGTCCGAAATACATGAATTCATTAACCTTAGGACATATATGCAAAGGTGGTTCGAACGCCACTACGATCGAATTTATTTTCAAAATTCAAATTTGGCTATCCGAATATTTCCGGAGTATCGTTTTTTGTCTAATCGTTATCTCAAAAGTGCTTGTGCTTTATGGGTACAAATTCATTCTTATTCGGAGAAATATATCGGTTTTTTATGTGGAGAGGGTTCAGGGGATAGAAATTGAAGATTAGCGCGGTTGGTTGGTGAAGATCGGCACCCACATACATGAATAAACAGAGAACGAGCTGGTCCAGGAAGCCCTTCATCCCAAAAATGACACACTCGTTCAGAACTATGAAGCAAATATGAATATATACACAAAGACACGTGTACACGCTTGTGGTGATCACTCAACGAGTGTGCATGCACCACGGTACAGTTTCTGGGTAACCAATCAGGAAACAGATCTACCCATCAATCCTTTTTCTTTTTCATTTGTGGTCTAAAGTTGCACCAATCGGATTAGCCGAATGCAAGAAGGTAACCAAAGGAGCTATGGAAGAATCGACCAGTGATTGTTGAATACTTGTGATATTTATTTGCAAGATTTTCCGAGTAGAATCAACAGCTTGTCTCGGTTCTACCTGACTTTGCTCTATTCAATGAGTTTTCAGTCCAACTCCGAATTCGCGTTAATCCATTACTATTTCTAGCTCGGATACTACAATGGTACTATAGCGCAATAAAATTAGCTATCCTAGTCTTAACTAGATCATATAGGTGGGACTGAGTTGGTTGTAGCTATCAAATAGATAGTAAGGAGAATAAGTGCGTTCCCCGTTATGGGACCTGTGAAACAAGCTCGACATCCATAAAAATGTATCGACATGTCATTTGGTCAGTTGTACGGTGACTAGTTCTAGATGGGAAATCGAGTTCATCTGGTGCAATAAAGCCTCGTTCGAATTCGACTGCATTGGTCAATCATCTAGACCGGTTCAGTTAGCATTGGAGATCAAACACGGGACTGTGATGGGACTGCTGCACATCCAGAATAAGGTTTACCGATGTAGACCTCCCCCCTCAGTCATGCTTCCCTTCTATGAGTGCTATTCAGACAAGCACACCGCCAGACCAACTTTGTACATGACAAGTGCAACCGCTCAGCTTGGCCCATAGATCGACCAAGTTAATCAGTAATCGATCCGATAACATTCACTTACAACCGCTTAACTCGAAAGCTCAACCGGCGGGTCAACTATGCAAGGATCTTTCGGGCCTGATAGGTGAATACTCATTCACTGATGTTAAAAATTCATCGCCCAACATGGCTTGGAAAACGCAGCAAGAGACAATCATCTTCCACAATACTAGGTTCTAGACTATAAGTTTGTTTCAGGGGTGTTCATTTGAAGATTGAGTTGATCTCATTCCTCACCCATCAGCTGACCACTAAACATCAATAGAGAGATTGAGAGAGTATTAACCAGATGGATATGATATGAACGTGATCTTTCTTTGGTTTATGCCGAAATCACATGGGTCTTTTGTCATTGTGATGTAGAAGAACTATTGAAATGTTATGCAATGAATATCATATATCAATTCGAGTGGGACTTCCTACATAGATAGTTCGTGCGACGACGTGGAAAATGGACAATTGATCA